GAGACCTTGATCAAGTCATTAACTCACCTCTCAATACTCTGGGCAGCTCCACAAGGTAGTGCTGGGCATGTTTCACCAATGAAATCCAAGGTCCAGACCACCCCCTGTCCTTATCTTTACACTTACTCCAGGTAGAAGAATGCTTAACACTGCTCTATCAATGTTGCCAAATCAGAATTAATTTTCCAAATCAGAATCATGCAATCTGTGAGTTGCAGAGGACTCTGAGGCTCTCTGGGCTATCCTGCACCTCCACTACACATCTCATGGTTCCCAAGCCTCTGCTTGAGGATTTCCAATGAGGGAGAAACCATCACTTCCAGGGGCAGCTCCTAATACATTTGTAAATCTGGAATCATAGGAAGCTTTTCCTCAGAAAGGCTCCCATCAGCCATCAGCAGTTTCTACTTTCTGCATCTTGGTCTGCCCTCTAGGCCTAGACAAAACAAATCCAATGCATCTTCCACATGTTAGTCCTTCAGACACGTAAAGACTGCTATCATGTCTTCTGGTTTCTAGATGAAACATCACTCATTCCTTCAAATAATCCTGACAAGACATGTTCTCTAGTCCCTGTCACTATCTGGTCTCCCTGATGTACGTACACTCCTGCTTGTTTATGTCCTTTCTAAAATGTAGCACCCAAAATGGAGTCTAGTATTGGTCTGACTAACACTATTAAACTACCCCCTCTCTTGAACAGTATGTTTTCCCTACTCTTCCCTGATAACATCTTTTCCTACTCCCTTTCTCTGTTCCTCCAAATTCCATCCCGTGCCCTCCCCACCATCTAAGTATACCCTTAAATATTTACTTGGTCCTGATCAATAATGAACAATAAGGAATATATATGTAAATTTCCACATTTTACTTGATATAGACACACACACATAAGGTAAATTAAATTTAGCAACTTGTATCAAAGACAAACTTAAAATATAATGAAATTATATTTCATGAAAGGAATAAGTGTGCGAAGTAATTCTCTTGTCATCTGCAAACAGTACACAGAGAGAATTCTTTTTTTTTTAATTTATTTTTTTTTAAGGCAATTGGGGTTAAGTGACTTGCCCAGGGTCACGCAGCTAGTAAGTGTCAAGTATTTGGTCTGAGGCTGGATTTGAACTCAGGTCCTCCTGACTTCAGGGCCAGTGTTCTATCCACTGTGCCATCTAGCTGGCCCTCAGAGAGAATTCTTATGCTATAAATGTCCCAGCAAAGACTTGCTTCTGGAGAGATGCTGAAATTGATAATATGCTCACTTTCCAAGAAGAAACAGAAGAATATCAATTTAACATAGAACTGGACCAAAAGACTCAGGCATGTATATTATTCCCTTCATTATGACTATGTGCCTAATGGAACCATCAGAAAAAGGGGCCAGCTTTTGTTGTTGTGGGTACATTTTTGCTTAAACTGGGCCATTCCCACACAAATCACTTCATTACAATGCCATCTCTACTGCCATTCTGCATCCTTTGATGCTGATGAAACATTACTTTAAATAGCCAATAGTGAGATCTTGAAACATTTTTGATGTTCCTTCATGTGTACTCTACTTGTGTTTATTATTCAGAAATTGCTTTAGAATGTAAGCTTTCAAAAAGGTGCCACTGGTTATTTTGCCCAGAGATAGTGTGGGACATTCTGTGTATCAATAAAGTGAAGTCACAGACAACACAGGTCCTTTCCAACACGCTATTCAAAAACAACTGGCCATGAGGAAGCCATTCTTCAAATCCGTGTTCATATTTAGGAGCCCCACAACCATCTCACTAGTGGGTTTAGACAAATCTGAAATGTTTCTATCCCATTCTAGGCTGGCCTCAGTTTCTGAGGAAGCCTCTAGAAATCAACTTAGTACCATGGCACATCAGGAAATTATCTTTACTTCATGGAAAGGTTTTGGGCTTTAATGTGGTTCCATAGATCAGTCTTTGAGAAGATTACAATGATGAGGACAACCCTGAAACTGAGCCACTCTTGTTAAGACTATAACAAGCCCTAAACTATGCTAACTTTCCAGAGGTAAAATCCAAATAGAAGTGGGTGACTGAAACCTGCCTTAATCTAGAACAGCTCTGATTTCTCAAGAGTCAGAAGGCAGAAGGAACTAAGAGTCTAATGCACACTATCTACACAGCTGCATCCTGGTATGTGCATGGCATATAATGGCTTGTTTAATAAATGTTAGGATGATGGCTACCAGGCTGTAATCTATTAAAGTAGAAAAATATCATGCTAATGGTAACACATATTATGAATATCTAATCAGCCTGTGTGAAATGTTTATTCTACTTAAAGTATTCAGATGACATTCTATGTGGTAGTCATCTATGAAGGACTCCTGTATTTGCCCTCCTTACCCCATGCTTAAATAGCATTTCTTTTGCTCTGCACATGGAATTAATGAGCCATTCGTGCATATGAGTGGAGCTGCCTGTATTCCGGTTCATGGGTGGGAATAAAGTCTTCCCTTTTTTGGTTAGAGATTGGTCTTCTTCCATCAAGGACCAGACAGAGCCCTCCCTGAAGAATACCCACCCAGTCTTAGAGGAGAAGGGAAGAGATAAATATGGTAGAAGGTATTTCAAGAGGGTAATTTTAACAAAATGTAGAAAAATTTAAGACATATATTTTTCACTTTGTCCTCTAAAGGTATTTTTCCTATATTTCTGCCTCATGTTAAAGGAGCCAAAAGACATGGATTATAGAAGTGAACATAACAGCCATCTTCAAACTGAGCCACTCTTGTTAAGACTATAACAAGCCCTAAACTATGCTAACTTTCCAGAGGTAAATCCAAATAGAAGTGGGTGACTGGAACCTGCCTTAATCTAGAGCAGCTCTGATTTCTCAAGAGTTAGAAGGCTGAGGGGTTCTCTCTCAAAAAATTCCATTCTGTTTTTAAATACTTTTAGTTATTAGAAAGTTGTTCTTTAAATTGAAAAGAAATACGCCTCCCTATGAATTCTATTTACTAGTCCTAATTCTGACCTCTGAAACAACTCAGAATAAGACTCCCCAGCCTTGGAGATATTCAGGTAAGAGAATGTAAGACTATTTGTTAGGGATGTTTTAAAGGGATTTTTTTCATTTGTTGGAGTGGTGAAGCAAATAATATTTAAGGCCTGTTTTCAAAGGTTTCATTTCTTATTTTACCATTAGTTTTATGACCACGGCCATCAGTCAGTCTACAAGCATGTATTCAGTGCCTACTATATGACAGGCACTGTTTTAAGTTCTGGGGATACCCTACCCCCCAAAAAAGGCAAAAAAACATCCTCACTTTCAAGGAGCTCCTAGTCTACTGGGAGGAGGGCAGAGGGGTAAGGGATAACTTGTGTACAAACAAGTTTTATATAGGATAAATTGGAGGAAATCAACAAAAGGAAAGCATTAGTATTAGGGGGAATTGGGAAAAATCTCCTGTAGTAGAAGATGGGATTTTAGTCAGTCAGTTAAACAGCACACTGTGCTAAGTGCTGGGGATACAAGGAAAGGCAAAAAACAGGGATGTCAGGAGACAGAAAATTCCAGGCCCAAAGAACAGCCAGTGAGATATGAGGGAAGTAAGGTGTAAGAAGACTGCAAAGGTAAATAGTAGTCAGTTCTAAATGTCAAATGGAGAATTTTACATTGGATTCAGGAGGTTACAAGGAAGGGGAAAGGTTTTATTAAAGGGGGGGGGGGGGGGATGACATGGTCAGATGCATACTTAAACTTTCCTACTCTTAGTATCCTCATCAGTAAAATGAGGAAATTAGACTATATTATCATCTCTAAGGCCCTTTCTATTAAAAATTTGTATCATCTTACGAAAGATTCTTAAGGGAAACTATTTTACTCATTTAAAGGAATAATACTTTGTATTTAAATTTATCAAACTACAAAACTGCAACTAATTATATCAGATGAAGAATCTTATAAACAATTGAAAGAGAAAAAAAATATTGTTTAGATGATCTTTAGGGTAGAGTTCGCCTTCCTAAAATCTCCAGGCTGGAAAGAGTAAAATAACTGTCATCTTTTAGAGAGTAACTGCTTCACAATAATCAGAGTCATTTCTTAGCACTAATGTCTATTAAGAGTGCAGGAGAGAGAGAGAAGAGAGGAGAGAGGTGGAGAAAAAGGAGAGAGGGGAAAGAGAAGGGGAAAGAGAGAGAGACAGATAGAGAAAAAGAAGGAAAGGAAAGGGGAGGGAGAGAAAGGAGGGAGACAGGGAGAGGGAAGGAGGGGAAGAGACAACGAGTGAGAGGAGAGACTGCCACATCTGAGAAACATACGAGCAGGAAGTAGAAGACACTTGTTCATCTGTATTTCTGTGACTTTTTTCACTTGGTATTATTTGCAACTGCACTTTCATGTCCGGGGGTAGTGCCAACTTCAGTAAGAATCATATATTATTTTTATCATACTGATTACATGTGTTCACCAGTTTTGCTGTCCAAAGATGCTTACTGTGGTTTACACATGCTTAGTGACAAACTCCAGAGCATGACATTTTCACAGAAAATGTGTTTACTGTGAAATTTCTCCTCAGAAGTATGCTTTTCTTTACAGCTTTGATCCACATGACATCCATAGTCCTACACTGCAAATAACTGCTTACATTTCCATTATGAAAACTGACTCCTAGATACAATTTGACTACAATGGGAAATGGTAGTCCTAGAACATTCTTTATATTCTTATGTGACTGGAGATTTCGTCAGATTAAGAAGATGCATTAAAACATTTTCAATTGCACTCCTTCAGTTTCATGGTGACTTGATGCTTAGATTCTGTTATTCATCAACACTTCACAGAAAGACTTGATTTGTCTGAATGAATTTTTAAAGCCACAATTGAAGAAAATCAGAAAAACCTGGTTTTGAATATCAAAAGATCCTAAACAAAAAGTATCTCTGGAGGCCCCATCGTGCTGCACTTTTATAGATCAGGGCCTGTCCTCACAAAATGAAATTGCGGTTGGCTAGACACAAAGAGAATACACTTACTGGTAAATGTCTTTTCTAAGGACAGTTCTGCTAAGTGGGTTGTCAGCCTGAGGAGCCATGGCGACAGAGCCAATCTTCAAAACCAGGGTGTCTTCTCTTGCGACCTCAGTAACTGAAACAAAAGAAAGACAAGTCAAGTCAGCCCTATAATGTTGTTCTTCTACAACAAGGCATGCAAAGGATGGTGTTCTTTGAAAGAAAAATGCAAAATAATTAGAGAAAAAAAAATATAACAAAGGATAGTTCTTTACAGTGCTAGACAAACCCTAGGCAGTAAACCACCCTAATATCTAGCAATTTCAAAGTGGTATCTAGTATTTTAGTACCTTTTTTTTACTACATAAGCATAATTCATTCTTCCTATTCATAAGCATTTCTGTTTTATTACAACACCTTGAAAATATTTTATTACCATTGTTCAGTACCACTAGTATGGACATTAGTGGGGCCCAACATGGTGGTTTTATGGGCATCGTGGCCACCACTATCATAGCTAGGGCTTATGGTTAAATCTTAGTCTTTTTGCTTTGGGTTCACAAAAGAAGAAGGGAAAGGTTACTTGGGTTCTGACCAGTTCATACAAGGCTCAGGAAATTTCCAGGCAAGAGAAATTTTTTTAAAGAATTCTTTAAGTTCTTTCTATAAGATACTTGGCAACATTAATTTGGTTTCCTTCCTCTGAAATCCTCTATGTTTAAAAATATAATTCAGAGAAGCAGTCCATAGGCTTAACCAGACTATCAAAGGGGTCCATAATACAAAGTAAGGAAATGCCATAAGAGATAAACTTAGAATTTATTTCCAACTCCAAAGAGGTTAGGAAGCACCAATGTAAGAGGTAGGACAAGAAGAATCCTGCTTTTATTTTCGTTGCTTTCAAAATGCTTCTTCTGCACATTTCTATAACCTATGGTTATAATTAATAATTATTTATATGGTACTGAATTAGAAAAATTTTAATAACATCTTTGTAAAAAATTAATGACTTTTATATTGAAAGAGTTTTAAAATGAGTAAACTCTAGGTTAACAGGCCAGACCCTGATAGAGTCAGAAAGTAGGATAATAATCTGAGGAGAAAGCAGAATAATAATCTGAGGAGACAACACAAAGAAGCAGATCAACCAGCTCCAGTGATCTGTCTTTCCTGGGGCCTAAACAAGAGATAATTTAACCACTAGTGCTTTCCATATGAAGATTGAAGCATTATCTCTAATTCACTGGTATAATTCAAAAGGTCTTTCTTTTCTAAAGGCTCTGTGGAATGTGTGTGGGTTTCTTGGTGGGCCTTTTAATTTTAGTTGAATTTGAGTTTGTTTCCAATGTCAAGAACAGAAGACATGTTTTCCTAGTGTAGTTGCTAAAACATTAATTTAATCAAAACTGTTAAGATCTCAGCCTTTAAGATGCTATACAGAACATATTTGAATGGTGTAAAATTTATCTCTTAAGATCAGAAACCCAGCCTTCAAAAATAGAGCTATAAAGAACTGACAATAAAAGATGAGAGGGATGTCTTAAGTAGAGTATGCCTACATAAGCACATGCCCAGTATTTACCATTCAGTACTGTGGTACTCAAAGAATGCAGTGATCATTCAATTAATTCCAGCTGTTACTGAAGTCAAGTTAGTATAGTTTGGCGTAGATAAATCAGGAGAAGAAACTAAGAGTAGGGGGAGGTAGAGAAAAAAATTACTAAAGAGAGACAAGAAGATAGATCGAAAAAGAGTAAGGAAAGGAAAAGGTGGAATTATCCTTTTGGATCAGGAAGGGATAAGAGAGAGGGAAGAGAAAATAAAATAGCAGAACTAGGGTTCCTATCTCTCAAGTGCTATTAAGAAAAATTTCTTTAAGTAGGAAAAAAGGAAGAATCAGTCAATCAAAAGCCATTTATTGAATGTCTGCTATGTGTCAGATTCTGTGCTGAAATCTAGGGATACAAAGAATGGTAAAACAGCTCCTGTCCTCAAGGAGCTCAACATGCAGTGATTAGGTGCACAAGACACATATAGAGTAGATGTAACCTCAAAAGGGAAAATAATGCCACCTTGCGAGGGTAGGGAGGAGGGAGGGGTGCAGTAGGTGTGGCAGGGGTGGAGAACCTGTAGCCTTGAGGCCACACATGGCCCTCTAAACCCTCAAGTGCAGCCCTTTAACAGAATCCCTTTAATAAAAGGATTTGTTCTATAAAACTTGGACTCAGTCAAAAGGCCACACTCAAGGACCTAGAAGGCTATGTGTGGCCTGAGACTGCAGGTTCCCCACCCCTGACTGTGGAAGATTTGGTGAGGTTTCTTGAAGATGGGATTAAAGTTGAGTCTTAAGGGAAGTCAGGGAAACTAAGAAGCAGAAGCAAAGAGAGAAACCATTTCATGAATGTGGGATAGCCAGCTTAAAGACAGAAATGGGAGATGGAATGTCCTGTTCAAGGTAGGCCAGTGTAGCTGAAGCATAGAAGGCATGCAGTGAAATAAAGTGTACAAAGCCAGGAAAGAAAGAAGAAGGCCACAATGCAAAGGGCTGTAAATGGCAGAAGAATTAATAATTGATCCTGGAAGTAAAAGGGAGCCACTGGAGTTTACTGGGTAGGGGAAAAAGTGGTCAAATCTACACTCTAGGAAGCTCACTTTGGTAGCTGAATAGATAGGTTGGAATGATGAGACTTGAGGTAAGCGGTCCATTTACAAGCCATTGCAATAGTCCAGGTAAGAGGTAGTGATGGTCTAAGCTAGTGTGGTGGCTGTGTAAAATAAGAGAAGGGGATGCATATGAGATGCATAGATAGAAACAATAAAATGTGACAAGAGATTGGACATGTAATATGAGTGAGAGTGAAGAGTAAAGGACAATACAAAAGTGTTAGGTATAGGTAAAAGGGAGAATGGTAGTGCCCTCATCAGTACTAGGGAAGTTCAGAAGAGGAGAGGGCTTAGATGTACAGATAATGCGTCCTATTTTGTAATGTTGAGTTGGATATACCTATGAGATGAGACTCGAAAGTACTTAACTCTGATGTATATCCAAGATAGGTGTGTGTGTGTGTGTGTGTACATACAAAAATACAAATAAAGGAATACAAATCTTCATCAAATACAAAATCATCTGTTTCGTGTTCAAAGTCCTTCATAACTTAGCACCTCCCCCACCCCAACCTTTCTAGCTTTCTTGCACCATAGTCCCTGCCAGGTACTCTTCAATCTGGTGACAATGTACTCCTGGGTGTTCCATGAACAAGAAACATTTTCTCAGGTTGTCGTACCCCATGCCTCAAATGCTCTCTTCCCTCATCTCTGCTTACTTTCCTCTCTGGTTTCCTTTAAGTTCCAAATAAAGTCCCATCTTTTACAGGAAGCTTTTCCTAACCCCTCTTAATACTTAGTGCATCTCCTTAATTATTTAGTTCCTATTTATTGTGTACATACCATGTTTGTACATTTTTGTTTGTTGTCTCTGTCATTAGATTGTAAACTCCTTGGAGAGCTGTCTTTTGCCTCTCTTTGTATCTGCAGCACTTAACACAATGCCTGGAATATAGTGGGCACTTAATAAATGTTTATTGACTAACTGACTGATACACATACACATGTATGTATGTATGTATATATATATATATGTATGTGTATGTATATACTATATATACATATACACACACACATATATAATGAGCTATACATACATATTGATATTTATGTGTATATAGTGTCTACATAGATACACTTAAGCACATATATATGTAAATATAAATATATGTGTAAAACCTGGTATGGTTAGAGGTAAAGAAATCTGTGTCATTAAGTAAAGTTGGCAACAGTTTAATAGTTTTCCTAGAATTTGGGAATGCATATTTATAAGGGTTCAGAGAAGAGTTGGAGGGGAACGATCATAAGAAAGAATGCTCCAAATGACTAATAATTAGAAAAGTTAAATTATAACAATTTTGAGCTTTTGTTCCCACATATCAGATTGTTAAAGATGACCAAAAATGAAAATGGTAAATTTTTAGGGGTTATGAGAAGAAAGGCAATTAATGTACTCTTAGAGGACCTGTGAATTGGGCCAACCATACTGGAAAATAATTTGGGAAACAGCCAAGATGGTGGGATGATGAGAAGCACTTCAATAGCCTCTTCTCCACAAACTTCTCCAAACAGACCTAGAAAACGCACCAGACTAAATCCTGATGGGGAAATCTAGATAAGTCAGAGTGAGTCTTTTTTCTAGCCCTGCTTAGCACAGAAAGAAAGACAAGGAGTTTGGTGGACCATAGAAATATGTCAGGCCAGGAGCACGCTACACGCAGAGCACTGAAATATCCTGGGACAGCTTTATACCAGGGGAAAGAGGAGATCCTATACCCAAATCAGGGGTGGGGAAACCTGTGTCCTTGAGGCCATACATGCTCCTCTAGATCCTCAATTGCAGCCCTTTGAATGAATCTAAACTTCACAGAACAAATCCCTTTATTCTGAGACAAGGACAGGTGCAAACTATAAGCTTTGTTATCCACTACTCAGTTCTGGGTCACAGAAGATGGCAGACTGAGAAGAGGACTTACACAGAGAAATGGTGTTGCCAGGAAAGGAGGCTCTTGGCAGTATAGAAAGGAAGAAGTTCAGAACGGGTTAGACCTCAGGCTCAAAGTAGGATCTCATTTTCAATGTTTAATCCAGCCTGCAGATGAATAACCAAAGGGGAGCCTACAATTCTGCTGCTCTGAACCAGTAGTTTTCCATGGCTGACATGGGCTACAGCAACAGTCTACAGTTATAAAACCCACGTCAGGACATTGCAGATTTCAGACCAGCAGGGCAGGAATCAGACTTTGCCCTAGACCAAACCAGTTTTGGAACACTGAAAGCTTGCAGGTCCCCCGCTTGTCCCTGAGATTCTAAAATGACACAACACTCAATACCAAAAGAAAGCAACAAGAAGACTAGCCCAAACCTTCCCTCCAGAAGTGCCACAGAACCCAGCCTTAACATCAAGTCTGAAGTGAGGAAATGGCCTGGAAGAATGGGCAAAAAAAACATCCCACCATAATAGGTTATTATAGTAGTGGGGATGCTCAAGACACAAATGCAGAAGAAGATAATGATTCCAAGACATCTAAA